TTATTACTGAATTTATTAAATTGTAATAATCAACGTAACGTTGGTTTGTGTATCTTATTCTGTATGTGTGTATCTTAAAAATCATCTCTAACAAGTATTAATAGTAGTAGTTCAATAATTGTTGGTGTTGGAGCTGGTATTGGTGTCGGTATTGATTCAGCCTAACTATACGTCACGTACGCGTAATCGTCATATAGCTACTGACGTGCACAAGTAGGGTAGCTCGCTATGCAATGGTTCACCTTGTTCAGACGGACCAATAGCAAGTGGGCTCATTCGTTCCTGTTTAACCAATCCCTTTCCTTTTCCCTGTTCACCAGTAACGTATGCAGGAATTAAACAGTTTCATACAGAGCATCACAAAGTTTATATGTACAGTAGTCCTAAACCAAGATTAAGAATGGCCGACATAGGGTGCAGAGTATGTTTCGTCTTCATTGCTATTGCTCTATTGCCTACTGGTAAGTTGATAGGCCTATGGAATTTATACTTTTATGAGGGTATCGTCATTATCAAAGTCGATTCAGACACCTTCTTACTCATACAAGGAAATAAGGAACTCATATTAGATACGTTTATGTAATGCCAATATTTACATCTTGCTCAACCCAGGAAGTAGCCACCGTCGTCCGATATAAAGTACTCTACCTAATATAATATTTTATGTTTAGCATTTTGGCCTGTACTATTTTTAAAAGCAAAACATTTGTAATTTATCGTTGGTGACGTCATGACTTTTCATACTTTTGTTAAACATTTGTCAAATGTTTCCGTGTGCATCAACTTTACTTCTGATATCAACGAACTGAAGTTCTAGATGAACATAATCTTTGGCAGTGTCATTAGACGCAGCCAAGTCAATCTCTTCTCATGCCTGTTGTAGTACAGGACATCTGAGAAGGTGTTTCATAGCAAAGAGTACTCTTTGTTCATAGTCTTTGGTTCAGAACCACAGAGAGGTGATGTTATTTCTGTTTGAGATATCCCTACTTTTTTAGAGTGGCTCTACAATGGCCGATACCTCTAGATCTTAGGCGGTTAAGGCATTTCCATTCTGGCCAGCTTAAGTCAGCACCAGGTGGGAGATCTTTCTTAACTTGGATTGACATGGCTGTTGATGATGGAAGATTGGCTAGTCCTTGTTTCTATAGTTACCAATAATCACTCACGAAATTATATGCAGCCCCTTGATATTGTTCCAAAGGGCCAACTTGACGATAGGCGTAAACGTACGTCGTAAACACTTGCGTTTGTTATATCGAGTCAGTCTATAATGAACTAGTCTTAATGTAACATTTTTTTCTTTAATTTAGTTTCAAGCTACTGTTTCAAACAATATATAAAAAAGGGCCCTGGTGTTTTCAAATGCAATACAAAAGTCAACAACTTCCCCGGCGGTAACCTTGCGTATTGCTGCTCACTTGAAGGATCTGTTGGATTCTCTAAAAACAAGAGAGGACAAAAGTGTGTGATATGTGAAGACGAGCTGCCGTTGGAAGACCTTCCACC